AAAAACTAAAGGTGACATAGTGATTTGATCGTGCTACAAAATGTCTGATAAATACATAATGCTGCCCCTTTAAACAACATTTGATCACTTTACGTCGCTTTTTGCTGGCTGTGATAAACTTACCGAAACCATGTCGAAGACACTTTGACTAGGAAGCAAAGCCCAGCAAAAACTTTTTATGTCAAAGCTTCGTTTGGAACCAAATTTTTTCCCCAAAATAATTGCAGAATTTTTGGTATAGCACATGATTATCCACTGAAACATCAGGATGTAAAACTTTGGAGACAGAAACACATTATAGTGTGTGGTGAGTATTATCACACTCTCAGGTTATAGAACTTGAGAGTGTGATAATAAAAACAGAAAGACCCCAGACCTGTTGAACTGCAAGCTAAACAAACAAACAGAAACGAATATTGTCAAAATAAAAAAAAAATATATATGGATATATTTCAACATGCAGATACCAAAAATGATTCATTTTAATTTTCACAACATGTTGGAAAGAAACAGCCACCAGCAAACAAGGAGCAACACCTGGATGATAAAGAATCCAGAGAGTCCAACATGATTGTTGTCTTCATTACTGGAAAGCGGTAAGAGTATCCTCGTGCTAAAGTGGGTCAGAAAATCAATAAATAATTACGGATACTAGGAAGAAGCTCAAGGGTGATGATATGAGTCTGGCCTTCTGTACATGCAGAGTGGTTCAGGACCAAATGGACCCGCTGCCCTGCAAACACTACAAAACAAAGGATGTGATCTCTAAATATAAACACGGTTTTGATCTGCTTTCTTCAAGCTTTAAAGTTATTTTTTTGCGCATATTCTATAAGATATTAAAAAGGATGAAGGCTGGATTTTAGTCCAAGATTGGATCCGACATCTCCCACGTCGCTTCGACATATTTTAACAACCCGCTTTCAGGAAACAAATGACTGAACTTGAGCAATAAAATTATTGCTCAAGCAGTGAAAGTATGTCTCCTGAACATCTGTAGGAACTTGATGGTGACGAAGTCACTTACACACCAATTCTGTTTTAATCCGCTTTGATCAAACTGCAGTCGGTTTGTCTAGAAAGTTTGGTTCGTTTAGAAACTGAGCAAAAAAGTGAATTCTGGTCCTCCTAAAAAATTAGGTCTCGGTTCGGTTGAAGTGAACTCTGGAGCTGTGATGCAAGCAAATCAAGAACGATCCAAAAGTAGGACGTGGACTACAGGCATTCTGGGTAAACATAAGCACAACAAACACCAGCTAATTAGCTTTATCAGGAGAAATGGCTGGTGGTCTTTTACCACAGTAAAAGAGAAATCCTACAACTACTGAAATATGATGTTACTTCATTTTTGTGTCTTCTTCAAAAAATTTTGTGTCGTTTTCTTCAGCCGTTCTTGCTGCAGCGCCGCTCCTGCCGAGGAGGTGCAACAGGCTTTTCAATAGCGTGGTCCGCGCCAGCTGCAAATGTCAAGAATGTAATTTTGGTTCCCAGTTGAACTGAGGAGTGTGAAAACAACCTGAACACATCACTCAAAGAGTTAATGACGTTTTGCAAGCTGAGGTGAAATTTGGCATTATTTAGCACAATCTAAGCCGAGGGCGGATGACGGCCGTGTGAAACAGAAACCTGAAGGAGGAAAAAACAAGCTCATCTCCAGACCTGCGGCTGCTGTGATCTCTGTCAGAGCCTCTTTATGAATAAGACCCAGCAGATATGTAATCATCCCGGTATTGCTGGCTTTCACCACATCCTCAAAACACTGCGGCTTTAAGGCATCTCGCACCTTTCATGTCACCGGCGCCGAGTCGCGATGACGCGGGGCTCTGAAGCTCCCCGGCTGCCTCGCGCCGAAATCTCTTCAAACGCTCGAGGCACTCGCTTTCCAAAAAGCAGAAAGTCTACCTCGTCCCTCCTCTGCACTCTTTTCATGTCTGCGTCCCATGACTGCTGGTTTTGTTCCAGCTATTACGAGCCATTGAGAAGAAGAGAGGGCCTTTAATTTTAGGATTTTTTTTTTTTTTTGCTACACAAACTGAAGTCGAGCACGTCATATTCCCAGGCTTCCTCTCCTTCCCACAACTCTTTTTAAGGAGACAAGGGACAGAACAGGACAGGAAACTGTACTCTACACCGGGGTTCTGATTATGGATCTGCAAACAGTTTACCTGGAGGTTCGTGTGTCCTTGGAAGCAAAAGTGTTTCGCTGACGTGAATCTGGGCGAACTGAACGCAAACACAGCACAACGTGCAATGGAAAAAAAGGGAGAGATGGATGGAAACAGAGGACAGCGCGGCCCAATCCTGTTAAAGATATTTCTAATCAGACTTTCAAAACACACAGTCTTCTCTGACCCGACTATTGACGTTTGTCCGGACATCAGAGCTCTACAGGTTTAGTCGAAATGTATAAATTCAGATTGGGAAAGCAGATGTAAGCGTATGTCGATACCAGGTCTGACAGCATGGAAATCCAGGTTTCAGCTTGACTCAACATGTCTACAGTCCTCTTACAGAAGTTTGGATTTATTCTTTTGACAGCTGTTTTAGGGAATGATAAATACATCTTTCAGGAATTATCTCATGGCAGTTCTGCCAGGTTCTGGTAGTAAAAACGTCTCACCTCGTCAGCGTTTGGGTTCATATTAAAATACACAAATGAATCAAGCTGGCTTTTTTTGTGTGTCAATTTATGACACACCAGACGAGGTATTGTGATCGAGAAATCGCTTTTACAGCTCTCCATCACGCGTGATGTTTTCTGTCTGCCGTTAGTTTAAAACCCGTTTTCACTGGGATGGTGAAAACATCCCATTTAGGATCGTCAAAAAATGTGGCGATTTGAAGACAAACCTCACAGACAAAACTGTCCTTTTTGCTCGTAGACTAAATACAATTTGTCTGGAGTCGGAAAACATACATGAGTCAATATGAACTGTATTCATTTAGGTCTCAAAATGAAGGAAAAACAGAGGCTCATAAGAGGCTTGTTTCACATTTATGAAAAACAAAGTATATGTATGTTGTCTTTATATATTAAAGGAAGTTATTAGGAGTTATTTTAATACTACATTATATTTGGCGACTGATTCTCATTACACATGACAGACTGTAACCCTTAATCAAACCAGTATTACCTAGAGCGACATCCTGATAGGATTATGATCCGCTCGTCACAAAACGACATTTCGTTAAAGCAAAATGTGAGCTGACGTCTGGTTAGTACTGGTTGTCCAAGGCGTTTCTCTACACGGATGAACAATTACCAAAAGAGCACAACCGAAAACGTATGACATGGCCAAGAAGAAGGCTTTGTTGACATAAAATATTAGAAACGCACAAAAAGGACATCAAGAAAATAACATTAGGTAAGTAAAATTAAATAATTAAATAATTGTAAGGATTCCCAAGATGTGTAGGAAAAAGAAAAACGTCAAAAAAATGACAGCTCCCTTTTGCTAAAAGCTCAAATTTCATCTCTTTCACTCCACTTGTTGCGAGTTTTTTTTTTTTTTTTTTTTTTTTTTTTCATACACAGTGCGGGTTCATGAGTTTTCCAATTTTCAGCCCGCAGTTGTAAACTGTCCTGTTTTTAAGCATGTCAACGTTGATTTAAGTCAGGGCTAAAAGTTGACGTTACTCCCGAGTTTTAAGGCGACCTTTGAACTTTTGTCTCTACAGCAAGTCAAAGGACTTAAAATTCATTACAGAGTGCACATTCAGAGGCTGGCCCGATCATAAAAAGGTCCAATGTAACGTAAAAGGAGCAACTAAGCTTCTCCACAGAACCACCCGCTGCTAAGAATCCAGCAGGCCTCACCTTTAACAAAAGCTCCCTTTTTCAAACTCCCAATCCACTTGAACCATGTCCCACTTGTAAAGTGGGCAAAGACTGAGGCTGCTTAGTGGGGAAAAAAGGCCATGTGCTTAAACAAGCCTTTTTGGAGAGGAAAAAAAAAGTAATAAAAAGCACCACTGCAACGATACAATCACTGTTTTTCTTCTTTTTTTTTTATTGAGTGAAAGTCTGTCACTCGGAGGTCATTATTTGTTGAATTCCAGTGACAGAGAGCAATTTCCCTGTATCATAATATGATTTAAAATAAAATCTTGTGTGTATTACAAGCCTGGCGGGCCTCCAGGCTTTACTTGTTCCGAGGCTAAGCATTGCTTATTTACTCAAGTCTTTGTAAAATGTTGGCATTTTTTAAGATTTTATAGTTGGTAGTCAGGTTTTAATCTAACAATCTTTCAATAACACATAATTATCAAGTGATATTTTCAAATTTTCTGTCAATTTAAAAAAATTTTTTTTACTCAAAACCCCAACAAGGCCGCTGGATGAATGACTGCCCTAACACACAACCACTGGACTTAGTAAGTTTTCTGGCATCAAAAAGTTTTATTCAACTTTTTGAATGAAACTTCATAAATATCAACATCGCACCGTGATTAAACTTCCTTCAATCCTTTGATGCATCACTATCACAAGCAAATACTAAATGACCAACTTCCTCTACTCCCCTGGAAACAAATGGCAATAAAATGGAAATGAATATCCGTAGTTGATATCAACCCAATTTCAATAATTGAACATATTCAAATATATTTTAAAAATGACTCATTTTGGGTGATGTCGATATTATTTGATACTTATCCCTGTTTGACAGTTCGAGAGAAATGAGACCAAAATCAGTCAGAACTCCACAAAATAAATAATTGGAGTCAACCTCAGAAATAGAAGTTGGTTAATTAAAATAGATATTTTTGGGTTTTTTAAATTTAACAGTCAACAGTCTGTCGTATTATCCAAAAAAAAAAAAAAAAGAAAAAGTTGCAGTTTGGATCTAATTTCTCCCATTTCCTCATTTTGCTGCTCCAAGAATGTTTAGCTTAAATTAGTGAGGATATATTGATAAAAAAAAGTCTGTAAACTACTACAAAGAGACCCAAGGATCCCAACTTCAATGGCGGTGTTGCCGTCTATAATTAGCTTAAAATACCTCCAATTAAAGTGGATTTCAGAGGTGAGGAGCTCCATGTGAAGCCATCCGGTCCTACGTCAGCGCTGTGGTTCAAAACCCTCAAATTATTGCGTCACTCGGCAACTGTGTGGTGGGAAAGCCACCAGGCCTGCAGCTCATCAGAGAGAAACCTCAAAAAAAAAAAAACAACTGAATTTTAGTAAGTGTGATTGTCACTTTGGAGGCCAGATCTGAGTGTGACGCCTTTCAATTGGCGGCTGGATCATAGCTGCTGCCTTCAGGAGCAGAGCTGGCGTCATGTTCACTGATGGTGTGCTGGATTTTAAAAAATTATATTCATGTCTTATGCTCCCAAAATGAACCAGTTAATTTTCTAAACTATTTTCTAAACTAACTAGTGATTAGAGGTTTAATTTTAATGGGAGGGCGGGGCCAACACCAACAAACCTATATCAGATTATATTACATTTACTGCCAATGGAAAAGGACATAAAAAGGTCTTGGAATCAGACAAACGTGGAACAGAAAGCTTCCTACAATTTCTTGGAACAGTTGGCCTTTAAGACGGAGAATTATGCAGCACATCATGCTGAAGGCCAACACTGTCGACCACAGGCTCATGCTCACTGTTGGTCTTAAAAGCAGTTTAATGCTAGCAACACTCAAGCGCAAACCCTACAATTTACGGTTGAGTGGGTTTTTTTTGTTTGTTTTGTTCCATTTCAGAGTGGGAAGCAGTAAACACACTGAACCAAAACGGAGAACTTCAGGCAGAAACGCATGAGTGCGAGGATGTGTGCTGATGGACGGGCCTGGTGTCTGCAGGTAGGGTTGCAGGAACAGGTCAGAGGAGAGGGATTGGTTTACACATGTTGAAGATAGGATTCCTGATGCCTTGGAAACTGATCTGTGTGGTGGATCTGGCAAAACCCAATGCCAGATCCTCTTCCACCCGCCACCCCCTTTTTTTTTAACCTTCCATTTTGTCTCCTTCTTAATTTGACTGATCCAATCAATGACTTCATTTTCTCCTGCGACACAGAAAGAGGATGAGCTTCTCTGGCCATTGTTGAGATACCAGAGACGTTTTTAGCATTTTTTCAAATTATTATTACTATTTGTTAATTTTTTATGTTGTTTTTTTTTTTGTTTGTTTGTTTGTTTATGCTGCCATTACAAGGGCCTTACGCGGAAGATTACAAAACTATTAGAAAAAGCCGGTCAGAGACGGGAACTGAGAAATTCCACCACCAATCTAAAATTCAGTTCCTATGTTTTGCTAATAGAAATGAATACATGTGAGTCTCTTGTCAGTAAGGGAAAGGTGTAGTAGCCATCAGAACAGTCATTTTAAAACCTTGGCATGTTTCAATACTAGCAACCAGCCAATGACTTTCTCACTCCCGTTTTATTTTAGCAATGGTTTCCAGACAGAATTAATCACATTTACTAAAATTACTTCTTTTCCCACATATTGCAGGCTTGCTGTTTCTTCAACACTAAATGTGTGTGAACTCTATTTTTAATGAGCGACTGTGATGAAGTGTTTGCCACTCTAGTATTTCACTCTGACAGAAAAAAAGGTAAATGTGGACAGAAACTCAAAGTAATGTTTTTTTTTGTAGTATGGACATATTTAACCTTTCCTTTCTCTCTTCACACATATTACCTAAAAAAATGACAATGACAGTAGTAACTGAGGATTAAATGATAAAGACCACCTTTCAGTTTTTACCAGTGTGGTTATCTGGCAACCTGAACACATCAAATCTGAATCTGGCAAACATCTCGCATTAATTCTTCGTCCTGCTCACACTTTCTTCTTCTGGTGTGAATTGGATCTCAGAAGCAAGGCCGCAACACCTCCTACATTTTTAAAATCTAATTTTCTTCATCTTTGCATGTAGAGATGTTTTATGGGCTCGGCTGTCTTTAAATAGCGACTGTCTTAAATCCAACCGGACGTGATCAGAATCATTTTCCCTCCCACATCGGATCTCCCGTCTTAAAAGTAAGCTGGCACAATAAACTACAGTAGCGTAACCCAGAGAAACCTCGGATCAGCAGAGGCTTTTAGGAAAGGAAATCCTTCTGCCTGCTGCAGAGCTACAGAAAATGAATGGTTGAAAAGATGAATTAAACTCCTAAAGTGTACAGACAGATGAGACTTCATGAGGGACACAAATCAGAGTGAATTCCTGACATGTGTTGCTGTGCAGCAGCTAGAAATGGAGAATTGATTAAAATACATCTTCATGTTCATATTACTCCGAAATAGACTTCATGGGATTAAAAAAAACAACAACATATGTCCCTGGAGTTCGGTCTGTTCAGAGGTGATTTACAGAGCCAGCGTGTCGATGTACACAGGAAGTCCCAATTCCCTCCCCACTCTGACTCCTCTCGTTCTCTCTGGTCCCAGGAGGAGCTTTCTGCTGTTCCTCTGAATGTACGGCTATAGGAGGTTCTCTATTTGCACGTCGATGAATGCAAATGGAAACTACACGAGTCTCGATAGAAACCAGTTTCAGGAAACAGGAAATAAAGAGGAAAGACACGACAGACAGAGATGTACATTAATACTGGTGAACAAATGTCTTTCATCTGGAGATCTATCTTCAGGTCAAATATGTTAAAACTGGTAATTGTAGCAGTTCAGTCAAAATCAAATTTGGACAGCCTGGCCTTTCTACGCTATTCCACTTGGTTCAAATCTCCCTTCACTTCTCCTTTTCGACTATCTACCAGAAAAAGTAGATTTTTCTGGTATATTTTCTACTGGGCCAATCAGCAGACAGAAGTAGCTGTGAACAATGTAATATTAAAGTATAATTACACTATATTAATAGGTTAATATAGTGTAATATATTACACTAATATCACATATTACAGGGTAATAATAAATATTACAATTTGTGTCAAAAACACAACATGTCAAGAAGCTTCGCCGCCCAGGACATTGAATAAAGAAGCGACATTGTGTCGCCGACAACGTCATGTGGGGGCGACGCAACTTGACACGAAGCATCACAGTTCGTCTTTACAATAAAATGCCTACAAATTTAAATGAAGTTATGTTTTTTATTCATATCGTGATATTGTAAATGCACATTGAATTATGGAATTGTGTTAATCTGTTCATAAATGCACCACTGTAAAGGTGTGTGTGTGTGTGTTCATCAATAAAAACGAGTTACTGTGTCAGTAAGTTCGATCCATTTACTTGTATTAGCTTGCTAATAGAAGTAAAAAACCGGATGTTAAAAATCTTCAGTCTGGTCTCAGTTTTCTCTAGTTTTATAGTTATAAATGTTTTACCTTCAGTTCAGACTGTCACATGTTTTGGTTAAATTGTGTTAGTCAATGGGTTAACATTGGAGCCCTTTGAAGATTGTATTGATCCTGACAGTAAAAACTTTAAAACGATTGAACCAAAAGCTCCTTAAATGCACCGGCGTCCCCCAAGGCTCCTGGTGCAGCGACCCTCAAAATGTCTCCCTCTTCTGCCACAACCCCCCAAATATCCCATTGAGAAATTTAAACATCCACTGTTGGATCCAATATCTCATCGTCCCTGAATTATAAAAATTTAGAGAACCATTTCCTATGCTTTGGAGGACTGTCTCTTGGTTATCTTCTTTTTCTTCAGTTTGCTCATTTCTCTCCTCATCTGCCGGGAAACCCTCGGATTTTACTCGGTCATTAATTTTGTTCAGTCTCCCCTTCAAATCAAAAATTTTCTGTCAGAGCTCAACGTTTTCCTCCTTTAGTGTCTGAACTTTGTGACTCTTTTCTCTCAGTGCATCTTCAATATTCCCTCTTGTTGTATTATGGGTCCTTTCAAGGACCACATGAGCTCTTTCCATCGCATCGTGATCTGTTTTTAAACACTGAATTTTTCTTCAATTTTTTTTTTCAAATCAGAATTAATTTGTTTAATTTGAGCTTTCAATTTCTCGTTTTCATCTACCAGCAGCTCATTTTGAATTTGGCAGCTCCTTGCATTGTTGGTTTTGGCTTCTCGTCAAACAATCAAATTTCCCCCTCAAATCATCAACAACTGTTTGCAGTTGTTTATTTTTTTTCTGGCATCTCCTTCTGCTTTTTTTTTTGTTGAAAATTTCAATTTTCTCTAACAAAAAATTGTTCTCAGGTACGGTCCCAGACGCTGTTTCTTCACTCTGTGAATCTTTTTCCGCCATGACTCTTCTTGGATCTTGCGTGACACTGCAAATAAATCTCTCTGTAGAACCAGGGAACATAGAGACTCAACAGACTTCTTGCACATGCATGTGCCAGAGAAGGAGGCAGGGGGAATTTTTGTTTTTAAACTTTATTTGCAGATACGCTGTATAACGACAAAGTGAAACATTTATTATGCCTCAAAAAAACTAAAAACAGATAAATACAGATAAACAGTATTCAAAAAAAGAAAAAGCCAAGAGGCTTCGGTTCCCAACATTCAAAGTGGTACAGATTTCAATTGTTTTAATAGCTGTGACTTTGATAGTCCGGATATAAAACTTCATTGAAAAATGCAGCAAGGCATGGCTTTCCTGACCTGGAACAATGAATATGATATTTAGCTAGTAACAATAGAGGATTTTTGAGAAACTCAGAATTGTTCAGCATGCTTTTAGTGAGGTCAAATAAGACATCTTCCCATAACAGCATAAATTGTGCTTCGATATTGTTGTAAATAAAGTCACATAGATTCAAAGGGACAGTGCCAAAACACGTGGACAACAGTTCAAAGATATGAATCACAAAACGTACAATTTACATCAAATCATTTCTTGAATATAGAGATCTCATAAAAGGATTAGTGCAAACATCTGAGATAGCTTTTTATTTTAAACGGGTAGGATATTCTGTTGAAGGACAGTGGCGTATCTAGCTCTGTTTTAGGGGTGCCCTCAGCACCCCTGAATAGGATTACCACCCCTCCGTAAAAAAAACGTTAAATGTACACTGTCCAATAGACACGCCTACCATACACATATCAACACTAAATGCAACAATAATGACCAAAATAAAACACAGGAAACATTAAGGTCAGCTAAATTCTCGTGGCGGGAGCTAAAGGACCCCAGAACGCTACGGACCGACGCTGAACGTCACGGTTGCCTATAGTCGGACACTGAGCAGCCCGGCGAGCTTCTATCAACCCGAGTCTTTTTAAATTACCCCCCGATTCTCCACCGTCCTTAGAAGCAAAAACTGGCAAAAATCCAGACGTGAGGAGGAAGACGCTCATTCCAGGCTGAACATTGTCATGTATTATTATTTAAACACCCGGACAGACCGTGTTCTGGCCGGGGTCGTTACTTGCGTTGAGCAGCGCTCTCACTTCC